AAGTTAGAGGCTGACTAGTCCGATCCCTTTTGCGGTGTTCTTGATTGCCTTCAAACCCAGTTGCCATTAAAACCCTGCTCTGTAGCAGTTATAGAGCACTGTTTCACAGGTGGTCCTGACAGCGTCCAGCCCCTGCTGTGGCCTCTGGCCTCTCTGGGGAGTGTCCCCACAGTGGCAGCTGGATTGAAATGTGTGATAATTAAAGTAACATTTCTCTCTAGTCTCACTGAGCTGAACTCCCATGCAGAATCTTCTGAGGCTGGCTTGCCTACTGCCACTGCCTCTTAATTACTTAATTGGTCTAATGACATCCAATTGGTCTCATCATCGACGTGAATACATTTATCGCAGCCTTCTGAGGGCCTTTCTGGCTTGATGGTGAAAACACAGCCCTTTTCCTTTAAGACGTTCTCTCAACATTGTTTTTCAAGAACGGATTTAAAACAGCCGATGCCCACAGGTGTCACACAAAACAAGCGCTGGCTCATTGAAACGGATCAACAGCAAGAGGAGATCAGCTGACTCGAATTATTTTCCATTCACCCCCCCCCCATGGCTAATAACAGTGCTGTTATCGGCCTGCACTCTCCCTGACACTGACACAGGCACACCATCCCCTCTCTTTTGCTCTCACTGGAGCTGGAGAACCTCTGAGCAGAGCACGCTGTATTTCTGACTCCATCCAGTCAGCTTACGAAAGCATTACTACCCTTCAAATGGCAGTAAACTGCTCACCAACAGGGCAATAGATCCAAAGCAGCATCTACAGGGGACCTGTAACACCTGAAACAGATATAGGATTGGTAGCCCATCCAAAAACCAGGATAGAAATAAATCAAAAGGTCAGAAAAATATATTTGAGCAAATTGCCTGGTCAGCGTTACAGCTGTGCCACAACACATAGATGTCCATGGGAGAGGCCTAAAGTAACAGTGGTCAGTAATTGAGCGCACTTCTGGGACTGATTGAATCAGCTGCAGCCCTGTAAAAGACACAAGGCTCCTTTAAGGATCAGGATGCAATAACCCTGCCTGCGTCTGATCAGGCTGTTCGTCTGCTTTAACCTCTGCTTCTCAGGGTGAAGTGACCACAAGCCCTCTGGGGTTTATATCAGCCCTGGGCAGGAACAGGCAAGACGTTTATTTACTCGGAGATAACAGACCAGAGCAGAAGGCGGCCCCCATGCTCTCGCGAACAGAGAACACGATCGGATTGTGCATCAATCTGGGGGTGCTGGGTGCAGGGTAAATGCTCATCTCTGGGGGGTTGGGCTTGAGAAAGCCACTGGGGTCCTGCTAGCTGAGGCCCGGGGACCCTACATCTTTCTAAGGGCTGGCTACCCAGAGCAGGTGGAGCCCCCGATAAAATCACCAGGACCCCTGGTGTCACCTCGCCCCCCCAATTCCACCCCAACCACCAATTATTAAGGGGAGGAGCTGCTGGTAAATGACTGTCTAGCCACAAGAGAAAACCACAGAAGTCACACAAAGATGTGCGCTTGTGACTGATTCAGGCGCATACACACACACACACACATCCTTGCACTGTGTGTGCGTGTGTGTCAGTTAGCAGCAGGACAGGCTGGGAGGCGATACCACACCCCCTCTGCAGGAGGCACCAACCCGGCTTACAATGCCAGCTCCTCTGCCCAGTTGCCCCCAAGAGCCCGCTCCAGCTCTGCTGACCCGGGAGCAGGTCCTGCTGCTGCAGACGGGCACAGGCTGTTGACAGCAGAGGGCAGGGAGACAGGAGGGGAGGCACCGAGAGACAAGTGTGGCATCATCGCAGAAGAGCACCAGGGACAGCCGAAGAAACACAGCCAGTCCCACTGAGTCACAGACCGGCCACTTCCAGGAGCAGCTGCTCTGCGAAAGGCTGAGAACGCTCTGTGGTTCAGATGCTTTTTTTTTTTAAAAAAATAGCGTTTTGATGCAGAAATAACTCTTCTCTTCCGCGATGTGGCCGAGGCCTGAAGCGAAAAGAGAAATTCAGCCCCCCACCCTGGACACACAGCGACAGAAGCGTTCAGTTCCTCCTGGCCCTGCGCCACCTATCCCACCCCAGATCGAGCAGCTCTGAAGGGGTTAAACGTCCTGCCCCGACCAGCAGTTAAATGCCACTTTGCCCCATTGCACCCCCCCACCCAGCGAAAAGGGACGCCGCGTTGCTCCGAGTTTCCTCCGAAAGCTGCGCGCGGCGAGCTCTCCGAGACACCTGATCGCTATCACTCTCGCAGCCCCCTGCAAGCCAGCAGAGAGGCGACTCCACGCGCGGCTCTCTCTGCCTGATCGCCCGCCCAGCGATCTGCAGGACACACGCAGGGTCCAGCCCTGGGGTCAGCTCCGTCACCGAGCTGCTGATGCACGCAGACTCGCTCTTCAGGGTAGCAGCTGACAGGCAGGGAGTTATGCACTAATTTACAAGGTGGCCTGGATGTCCTCTACTTTTTTGCTCAGCTTTCTGATGCTTTTATACGAGAGAGAAACGGGACGATCACAGCACGGTGACACTGGTGTACAGCCTGAGCTGACCAGGCCTCAGCACGAATGTGTAACCACAGGGCAGGGATTACAGCCTGTGGCAGGTGCAGAGGTACACTGTACAGTTCGAATGCACAAGCGATGATCACTGGTAATGACAGAGGGTGACCAGAGCTGAACTCGGACTACAAGACTTCCTGTAAAACCGCTTGGGTTCAGGGCACCATGGGGGCTGTATCACTTGATGTTCTCCAGAGACGGCCTTTATGCACCACAAATTAAAACATTTCAAATCTTCCCTGAACCCCACTGGGATTTTTTGCATCCTCTTCACTGGGATTGGCCAGTCGATCACCACGTGGACCAATCGATCCGCCAATCGTGGGCGACGCTAGCATCGGCCAATTAATCACCGTGTGGCGGGCCGACGTGGACTCATCAGACCCCTGTCCTGGTGCTCCCCTCCTGCCCCGCACTAAGCAGGAGATCGCAAGCTGCACACCCCAGCCAGCGCTCCCACCGAAACCCTTCACTGAAGGAGTGGTGCTGACATCTCTGGCGTCATCTCCGTGGGGAGTGATGAGGAGAGAAACCATGAGTGACACATCTCGTCCGGGGACCAGCGGTGGTCAGGGCTGGCTGGGGTTGGAGTCAGTGAGGCAGCTTCCCCGAACCAGTGACGCAGCCTGAAGAGAGCTGACCTCAAGCAGCCCACTGTCCGGACACCCCCTGCCCCCTGAGGTCAGAGAAGGGCAACAGACAGACAAGCAGCCCCTCCCACCCTCCTGACTCATGGAATCAAACCCCCCCCCCAGACAGCGAGACCCTTCCACCCACCCCTCTCCCCAGACCCTCGGCTTCCAGGCACTGTGGGTGCCCGACTCGAGCTGAGAGGGGGGTCTGGGTTTATCGCAGTGAAGCTGTAGGGACTCTCACAGCTCCCCGGCGTCGCAGAGCAGCTCAGCGGATTTCAGGCCACGGCTGCGATAAGCCAGAGATCTTCCGTTACCAGCGGGGGGGGCAGGGCAGCTCACAGCAGCCTGTATCAGTGCACTTGGGTAACCTCACCTGTCCCAGGTGTGAGCACAGGAAGCCCAGCTCCAGGTTCCTGGTTCACCACAGAGCGTTGCTGCCCCCCCCTCGTGCTCTCCTCTGGGGTTAATGCAGAGAGGGAGAGAGAAAAAACTCGAGCGAAAAAAAACAGATAAAAATGTATTTCTGTCTTTTCATAGTGGTGCGCCACATCCTCAGGAAGAGAATAGTGCCGCATCAGGGGAGCTGAACTGAGGCTGCGTGACTGTGCACAGGGACAGGAGCCCTGCACACAGCACACTTCAGCCCTGCTTTCTACTGCCAACAAAAACACAAGGTCTCTGACAAGTGCAGTATTCCCTCAGTGTTGCCCTATT